ATTTCTAACGGATTTTTTAACATGAAATTCGGGACTTTTATCACCTCTTTTAATGCAACACTTTAACACGTTAAAATTCTAAGAATTATTGTTCCAAATAATAAGTTAAGGAAAATAGTCACGAGAGGGCACTTTACAACACACTTTTATACATTTTCATTTAGTCATATACGGGTATGGTGAATATAAGTAACATTATTACTAGCTGGGGAACCCGGCATTGGCGGGATGAGGGGCAGCTTATGGTCGTGACTACACAATCAACTGCACTATCACCTACACTACATCAACTACACTATCACTTTTAGGGGGGGGGGTCTTTCACCGCAGGGTAGTTAGGGGTGTTGACCATGAGGGGAATGTTATTGTACTATAAGGCTCCTGACACCCCCTTCCTCCCTCGTCCCCCCACATTTATTTTCCTTTTAACCAAATCTAAAAGTTCCCTTTGTACACATGCCAAATTTCAGGTCTCTGGGCTTCATGGTCTTGGAGACTGACTGACTGAACACACACACACACACACAGGCTCTTATACTAATTAATTGAGTTTTGTTCTTTTGTTCTAGTTTTATGAATTGGTTTAATTGAAGAGTTGTACTGGTTGCTGGTGTTCACTTGTGAGTTGTTGGAGTTGTTAGTTGTTTATATTTTAAGTTACTGGTGAGTTACTGGTGCTATGAGTTACTGGTGCTATGGGTTACTGATGTTATGGGTTACAGATGTTATGAGGTATTGATGTTATGAGTTACTGATGTTATGAGTTACTGGTGGTATGAGTTACTGGTGTTATGAGTTACTGATGTTATAAGTTATTGGTGTTACGAGTTTTGGGTGTTATGAGGTACTGGTGGTATGAGTTACTGGTGGTATGAGTTACTGGTGTTATGATTGATATACTGGTGTTGTAAGTTTCTGGTGTTGTGAGTTCGTAGGTTAAGAGTTACTGAACATTGAATATTATATGCTGTCTGCCATAGATGTCAGTCATAAATGGAGTGATGTAGACGCGTTCCCAGCCACAGGTGTGCTAAACAATTGTTGCATTTGCAGTTGTGTACAAACTCAAATAAGAGAGGGAGCAACTGTTCATTGTGAACGAACTCTCTTGTGTTATATTGCACATGTTGTGGTCGACTGGTGTTGGGTGTTACATTTGGTAGTAGTTTTGAGGTAAGTGGTGTTTTGGCCACAAAAGCCGACGATTAGCGAGTGTAAGAATACAAGGCGGGGTAGAATTTACATAAGAACTGGTTGTCCCCACCTCCGCGAGGGCTATTCCCTTACCTAGGGAAAACTGGTTTACTATTTAGAAAACTTTCATTTTTCTGCATTTAATTTTTAAGACATTCGCGTTTTTTTATTTGCTCGTATTTGTTGAGGTACAGTAGTTTTATGTGAAGTATGCTACGGGACCTCTCTCTCTCTTAGATATACGTATTAACGCATTCGTTTTTCGTTTAGCGTTTATTTGTGTCGGGAATTTTTCTCATAATATAATTTTAATGCTTGCTAGTAAATCCTTATTCGAGAACAGAACATAAAATTAAAAACTTGAAAATCGGGGTTTGATGAAAATAGTGTGAAATAACGTAGGAACTGAGAAAGAGAACAAGACGTCGAGGTTCTGACCATGTTTTTGGCGGGACATTTTAGGGCCGCTTATAATGGAGTGTCAAAGATAGTAGACGTGACGCGCGACCACCCGCACACCCCTCTCTCTCTCTCTCTCTCTCTATTTTAGAACTATATTAAATTATTTACACTAATCCTCGATAGTTGTATATATCACATAGTGCAGTACAATACAATAATATAACTATACATCAAATTGAAGTTCCCGCGAGATTGATATTGACTCAAAAGTTGAAACAGTTTATCTCTGTACTTTGAATGCAAGACTGATCGACAGAAGTACTGTATTAATAGTTAGATAGTGGGTGAAACTTTTACAAAGAAACCGAATAGCAAGTTTTAACAGCATGAAATTTCAGAAAACAGCTCGAGTAGAGCGTGGTGGCCGTGGTACCATGGTGGCAGTGTCGCAGCAGACGTCGAGATGCAAGTCACAAAACGCTGGTAGCGCCCCATCACTCTTGCCTAATTACAGAATGCTAAACAATCCTCGACAAAGGATGGCCATTCCAAGGCAGCTGCTGCTTTTTTTGTATTTTTCTATATCCCGGGCTGGTGTGTTGCCTCAGCGTCTGCCATAATCAGTCTCGTCATTAACCCTACAATCACATTAACATTTTAAGAAAAAATGAGCACGTGAGGGAGAGTTGTGTGAGGCGGAGTCCGGGCATTGAGTTACGGTCGGGGCAGAGGTGTGAAGAGGAATGCACACTAGAGAAACCTGAAACCTGTTGTGTCACCCAGAGCGAAACTTGCCGAGTTGATGCCGCGTCCACTCGCCCACCCTTTTTTACCCAATTTTATCAAAGATTTCATGTTTTTATTTACATTACTGGTTTTATTATATTTTATCAATGCTAACTATTATAAGGAACAACCATAGCATATTATAAGTAATGAATAAAGTGACTAAGTTCCACCGTTGCCCCGCCGACTGAGGCTCACCGTTGGTAATGTGATATGTGCTGCCATCTTGCCCTGCCAGTCCGCACTAACACCTGACTAGCCACTTCCCCCAACCTTACCTGGCCAATCGCCGTCCATCTCGCCGTTCGAAATGCGCCCATATAGGAACATACCTCAGAGGTTAATTCATTATGTAGTCTGCAATGCATATACGCCCCTGTGGGCTGCCGTCACCGTAAGTATCAGTTTTCCTTGTCCCCAGACAACTCCTACGCTCTTTTGCTACTGTTTTGTTATTAAGGGATTACACACAAACAGCTGATCGTGCATGCACCACTGTTTCGCAGGTACACCCCACACCTGGACCACGGTTCCTTGTATACCATACCAGCATGTACCGTCACCCATTTGTAGGGTACAGCACTTGGGAGGTGCAGTCCAGGACGTTCCTCCAGTGTCGTACAAATGCATCGATGAAGCCTAGGGTAGACACAGCTCCTTACTACACATTTCCTATATCACATTCGTAGCCATGAGCTCAGCCGATGGTCTTATTATTATATTGCACAGTCTATTGATGTCATTGTGTAAATTATTAATTATAATATTGGTATTTTATCACGGTCTATTATTAAACGAAATTGTGATTGTGTCTGTCCATATGGCTCAAGATCGTATGTACATTACCAGACTTATTGATAGCCACATAATTTTAGAATATATATATATATATATATATATATATATATATATATATATATATATATATATATATATATATATATATATATATGTATGTATGTATATGTATATATATATAATTTGTGACCGTGAAAAACATCAAATGCTGAGCTTTTGAGTATTTGATTATTCAACATATTCCTAAATTCATTTGCACTTTTGTGAATTAGCATAATTAGTGTAAGAGATACTGTGTAGTCTGGCATTTACATTATTGTACCCGTAGCGACTTTCGATGCAATTACTTCATCGAATCGTCTTGAATAACTAGCAGTACTGTGGATGATATCACTTGTGTCCCCGATAATAATACCAGGAGACACGTTAGTCTAGCAGTGCAGTGCGGCGGGAGGTTCTGCGGTGATGTGCGGCCGCTGCTCGCTCACGTGCACTCTACGGGAATTACACACCCTTTGTTGTCACTCCTCTTTCTCATATGGCCCTTTACTTACTCTCCTGTACTCACTCTTTCACTCTGATACCCTCACTCACTCAGACATAGCCTCTGTTTCATGATGTGATAACTCATTCACTTGTACGATGAGTCACTAAATCATCTTTTGTGTCATGCTATTATTACTCTCAGTCTCTGGAAGTGACACTCACTCATATGGTTACTCACGCCCATGGTTACTCTTTCTCCAGCGGTCATTCACTCAGCGAGACGCAACTTTTGTCACTTCTCGCACATATTGTCTTGGGTGTGCCTGATTTTTTACAAAACCAGTACCGGGATTATTAATGGCTGGTGTATTGATGAATATATTTAAGTAATAACACTAAAATTCCTTAAAACAACTTTGAAAAATAAATGTATGAATGTATAATTTTAAGGATATTTCTGTAGATGTATTATACAGTATATGTATTTATACAGTATATGTATTTATACAGTATATTTTTATGATTATTGTATTCCCCTTCAGTGCATAGTCTTCCATTTTTCTTTTTATTTGATTTATTATGACATAGATTTCAGATTATAATTGTCTATATTTTATCATTTTTGTTTTGCATTGTGAATAATTTGTTATCCTCATTGGTGATGGATTATAAAGGTACCTGTGGCTATTTTTATTTATATCTTACGTATGATAACTTTAATCAAGTGTTTGTAAATGTTTTTGTCTTTGAAAAATAACAAGTGAACTGGAACCTTGAATATTATTATATTTAATTATTCTCTTTTTTTCACTATTATTATTATTTTATATTATTCCGTAGTTTTGCAATTATTTTGTAATTTCAAATTTTTTTGTGTATTATTATTATTATTATTATTATTATTATTTTTATTTTTATTATTATTTTTATTATTATTATTACTGTAGTTTTTATTATTATTATTATTATTATTATTATTATTATTATTATTATTTATAGCTTCAGGCAAAGTACAACAATAATAGTATTGATGGGATTTTTAGGGTTTGTATTTCTTACTGTAACAGCATTGTGATTATTTTTTGGAATTTTTGTAATATTACTAGTTTTTGTATTTGAATTTATTATTGTAATTGGTTTCACCTTTTTATTATTATTTTTATTATATTTGGATTTATTAGTATCAATAGTATCTTCAGGTTATTACATATACAGTAGATATATTTTAAATGTTTGTGGTCTAATATTTTTTAATAATAATATTAACAATACTGATTTAAAGAAAATAAAGAAGAAATTTTTATATTCAGGGAACAGAAAATCAGACAACACTCCTCATAGAAAACGTGTTTATTATTATTATTTGTTTTTTCAGTATGAATGTCGTTAAATATGTACACAACTTCCACGTATAACTAATCTACAGGTCAAGTTAGGTTATCCTTGACAAAGTTACGTAACAACGGACACAAGAGTAGCTACAACAGCCAATCCTGAGGAGGTCACATCTGGAGTCACATATCTGGATAACTTGCTACCCAAGGGAGAAAGAAGAACCACTGTGTCACTCGAGTTTATCCAACGTCAACTTTCAGTTAGGGTTTAATGCAGCTTATTGTCGTCCTCCTCTTCTGCTTCTTCGTCAGGAGGGAATAAACTTTCTTTGAAAACAAAAAATCACTGAAAGCTTTAGGGGCGTTCGAATTCTAGACTCGCTGTAGTTTTCATGAAAGAAGTGATGTTGTCCAGCCGACGGTCATTGGCTGAGGCCGGATAGCACTTGTGTCCAGGTATCATTCGCCAGTCATCAGAATTTCTCACAACTTAATAGTTTTTTAATATTATTTTCGCGAATTATGTCAGAATTCGAAGTGCATTGGATTGCTCATGAACATACAAGTGACACTGCGTATACGCCTAATGCATTTATTTCTAATCTAGTTTTGGTCAGAGTTATGTACAGTCGCCCCATCGCGAAAATGGCAGGTGAATATAATTTGGACTAATCTAAAAATACATAATTAGTAGTTTTTTTTATTTTAACGAGTAGTCAACTAATATGTTGGACACAAATAAAAACCTGTGTGTGGATTTGACAGCTGAGTGGTGAGTGAGTGAGTGTGTGAGACATTTGGGACAAGAGATGCATGATGGTGGGTGTTGGTGTGTCCTTCCCTCCCTCCTACCATCCACCGCTAATCCTCCATGGTACCTGACCAAAGTCTTACCGAGATGTTTTTAGACGATCTTATTTGCAATAAGGTGTGAATCTTTTACATAATAACAATAACGGATACATAATTCTTACAGATTTATAATTGTAAGTTGTAGAAATGTAATATTTATAATAGAGGTAACTCAACTTCCAGACCATTACGTATGCAAGAGGTGTTGTAACTTACAGAAATTAACAAAGCAAATAAAAAAATAATAATAACTTGACACAAAAATAATTACATTTACAAATGAGACTCTTAGATCATATGTTTTTAGACATGGGAGACAGTGGAGGTGGGTGACTCTAATACCAGAAGGTGCGTGGGTTGAGGCAATCAACTGCTTATAAAAAAAGATAGCGAAATTCATCATTAATAACATTTTGAAAAAGTCTGCCCGAAAAAAGAGCGGGTTTGGCACATAGGGATCATTACACAGGTAGAATGGAGTTATTCTTATGTTTATTTTTAGTGTTGGTTTACAGCAGCTGTTAAGTGGTGGCAGCTGCTGTAATTCATTAACAGAGAGATGCTGTGCCTTAGCCTGAAACTGTTATTATTATCATTATTATTATTATTATTATTATATTATTATTATATTAATATTATTATCATCACTTTACCAGAAAAGTACATTACATTTTACTATTGCCTTCCAAGTCAGTTAGTGCTTATGAAACACAGTATAGATGATTTTACATAAAAAATATAGTTCACGTATCATGCTGAAAAATAAGTACACAAAGCACATATTGGCATTCAGGACAGCATCTCGTGACGTCACACATTGATGACGTCGCCATCACGGACTGATGATGTACAATAATTGAGGCCTCACTATCACTGAAATGCTGAAGTTGATTAATAATGGAAAAGGTTTAACATTTGTCCCTAAATTCCCATTTCACTTTTAATGGTTAGTCCTTGTCTATTCTATACAGCAGTATGATGGGACAAGCAATATCCACCCTTAGTTTGTAGTGACATGAAGGTCATCTTTTGTCTGTGGTGTGCAATGACACAGAAAAACCAAGTGAAAATAATGATGAGACAGTAAGCAGTGAAAATACAAATGTAAGAATGAAAATCGCTTGTCTTGAGTGACAACGTTTGCAAAGTGGATAGACTGGGGTATCTACCGGCCATTGTAAATAATATAAATCCTCTTTTATATACTTTCAAAAAATAAAATCAAGTCGCTCTGAACAATACCAAACCACATGAGTGATCCGAACACTTGTAGAATTAACACCAGTACATCTGTTACATAATATTCCAAGAATCACTTATTTTTCTTATGTCAAGTTGAGACTGATTCAGCCCTTCAAGAATGACGTCATAGATGATCGATGATTGGTCTCTGTGCTCATCAACAAGCCAATCATCCGAGTGGTGGTTTGACGTCACTGATCAAGTCGTGAATACAGCTGATTCCAAGTTTAGTTCCATTGTACAGCCAGTAATTCGGCGGTGTCAGCACTTTAGGGTTGTCAGTACGGTACGGATGTGTTAGTAATATATATTTGTGTCAGCACTATTTTTGTCAGAATTTTAAAACTGGTTTTGTTTACACCAATAATGTGTGTGCGCTCTAATATTGTCAGCACTGTATTGTTGTGTCAGTACTGCAAGGTTTTCAGCACTGGTTATATCAGCACTAAGGCTGTCGGCATTATATGGTTATTAGTACTGTAAGGTTGTCAGCACTATGATTTTATTAGTACTGTAAGGTTGTCAGTACTGTAAGATTGTGTCAGCACTGTAAGGTTGTCAACACTATGGTTGTGTCAGCGACCGCTGAGAGATGATGGTGAGGATGGTGAGGGTGATGCTACGAGGGCGAGAACCATACGTAAACTTCCTTCGGTGCGTTCACTTGGCTCCTGTGTTGCGTGCGTTCACTCCATTTTTGTTTTCCTGTTCAGAACACCGTCAGCAGGTGGCGTCAGCTTGGCTCACTAGTCCCTAAGGTACACTAGCTGACACTGAGCATGTCCTTATAGTCTCATCACAAATATTTTCAAGTAAATTGCACTCCAGGTTCAATTATACGTACGGAATTACTTTTTTAATTATTTATTATAACAATAGTGCAGCCGTTTCTTTGAGCTACGTCAACGTATATATATCACAGACAATAATATTCAGTATTAATATTACTCTTCGTCGGTTTCTTAAAATTAATCGTAACCTAAATTCTAAAGATTTACAAAATTAAACGAAAACTTGATAAGTTGCCGTGTGCATTGCCAGGGCGTTGTCCACCTTTTATTATTTACTTTTTACAGCAACAACTTCAACTGCGTCGAAGAATAAGACGAAAAAAATAATCGCTCAGTTAAATACGCGTCGAAGGTCATGGCACACACTGTCCTTTGGCGTAACACTCGGGTGGCATTGACTGGGAGGGCGCCCTGCGGCACCAGCTGGCTCCTTCACTGTCTGAGTGCCATCCCCGCTGCACTGAGTGGTGGCACTGATGCTACACAAATGCTCACTGTGCCTGTTAGTCAGCGTCCACCACATAAACACACGCTGCGCTACATTGATCATTTCAGCAACTTTGGTGTCACTGCTAATGCACCGTTGACCAGGGTAGCTAGAAACAGCTCTTGGGTACAACTGGGGTGAGTTCCAGGGTGACATTGTATGCAGCTGGAGGCCTCCGCCAAGGTCAGTAATACAGCTGTCGCGCCTGTGTCGCTGTTCGACCATTTTCCTCTCGCTGTGATGAGCGCTGGTGGTGTTCCGAGAAGGTAGGGAGCACAAGCAAGCAGGAAAGGCGAGGCGCCTCGGTGGTGAAGGTGGAGGTGGTGGGGGCCCGCGGTGGGAGCGGTGATGGAGGTGTGTGTGTGGGATGGGCTGGCGGCTGCTGGGCCAGTCGGGCCCGCTCCTGCTGCCCGCCTCTCTCTACTGGACGTGGGCTAGTGTGATCCTGTGACGCCCTTGGTGCTTGATGGCGTGGGTGGGAGGGGCGGCATCCCCCCCGCCCCGGGCCTGGCTGTGCCCCTCGGGGATCCCTGCGGCTGACCAACACGTCTCATTTGACTCACAAACGAGACGGTTCACAATGATGGATCCCCGCTCGGCCGCTCCTGCCTCCGCTGCCACTCCCGCCTCCTCCCCCTTCTACTCCTGCTGCCACCCCTTCTGCTGCTGCTGTCCTTGCCTGTTACTTCTGTCCCTGCTTCCTACTGCTGCAGGAGACAATCTTGCATGTCGCCCTCCAGCAGGAGTGTGCCCCCCATCGCGCCGCCCCAAACACTGGGATCAACAGCCTGTGAAAATAATAATATTTATTAATATTTGAATCACTACGTAACGACACACACACACACACACACACACACACCAGCGTCTAAAACACAACCAAGCATCCGTCGGTCACACTTGGGGTTTGGCCTTCAACTATCCCCTTCCAACTGTCCGTCCGTCCACTCGTCACAGTCAGTGGCGGCGCGGTGTTGGTCGCCCATTAATAATCCCCAAACATTCGGTTTTTCCTTGTGATGGATCAGTTGAACAAACACAGGTTGATGGCTCTCCGTAGAAATTAGCTTAACCTTTTAATACAAACTAAACCACTACGCCAGCTGGCCAATCACAAGCTCGTGCCTTAACAATAGCCTCAACACTGATGTAAATGACAGGCTTTAACGCAGTATTCCTAGAACGACAGCCCACTGAAGGTTGCTGAACCTTAAGTTGCACTTTTAGGAGAATTTACTAAGAAAACCATTTTTTTTAACCATGCATTATGATTTATGGTGATAATTTAGAATAATAAAACATTGGTACTTTTTATATCATCGTAATGAAATTCCGATGAACACCCCTCCCCCTCCTTATTGTGAAATTGAAATGACGGGAATTACAGGGGACATGATGTGAAAAACAAGGTAATTTAATCACTTATAATTAAAGTGACGACTATTCATGCAGGAAGTTGTAACTAACATAACATATTACCACCTGCTGGTAATTACTGTCATCGCAGGTACCGTCACATGTCCACATAGCAGCAGTACGGCGGGTTGTGCTGCATCACACCGCTACCACCCAACCAACCTATATTCCGTAGTGTGATTGTGTGTATCTGTTTTTATTTCCATATTTGTTTATGTTTGTATTATGTTTGTGCAGATGTGTGTCTGTGTGGGAGGGAGGGAGATGTATCTCACAGTCATCTTGTAGAACCTCGTGCAGGCATCACGGTTATGAAGCACTGAGAGGAACCCGAGGAGCTCCCCTTTATTGGAACACCGTGAGACCATCAATTATGGAGCACTGTAAGTGGGAGGAACCTAAGAGCCCATCCCTTTAATGGAACGCCTTGAGACCATCAGTTATGGAGCACCATTAGAAAAAATTATGGAGCACCCGTTTAACGGAATCTCCTGGCGCCGTCGCTATAATGGAGCACCATGGAGTAAACCCACGGAGCATATACCCCTTACCACCCCTTGAATAGTAGACTTTGTGTGTTGGAACAGTTGTGAAAGTGAAACCCGCAGTGGAATCCCCCTACCGTGAAGAGTGTGTGTGTGTGTGAGAGACCAAGTGACCCAGGCCAGACCCAACTATCATACCAAGTGACAGAAACACACACCGCCGCTCTCTCTCTCTCTCTCTCTCTCTCTCACTGAAACAACACTAGTACCGCATGAATATAAATCATTATACATCGATATCATTAAAATAAGAACCGAGGAAAAAATGTGTGTGTGTGTGTGTGTGTGTGTAGGGTATTTTCGTGAAGCGCAACCTAAATGAACAATAAAACAAGTACAGCACCTGAGGCAAAAGTACCACTCGTCGCCTCCCTCAACCACCGCTGTCATCCCTCCCTCCCTCCCTCCCTCTCCCCTACCAAACCCTCCCTCACCTTCCTTCCCTGCCTCGGCTACCTTCCCTCCCTCATCTACTACCTTCATTCCTCACTTACCCTCCCTCCCCCCTTCCTCCCTCCTCCTACCTTCCGTCCCTCCTTTACTTTCTACCACCCACTTTCCATTTCACCCACTGCCCTTCATTCACCCATCTCTCACCCACCTTCCTTCCGGCCATATTCTGCATCCATTATTCCCTTTCCTTCTCGTTCCTTCCACCCTCCGTCCTCACCCACCATTCTTCCCTACCTCCCTTTCACCATCAACTACCATACCTCATGTCATCTATCCTTCCTACCTACCATCATCCCCACTCACCCTCTCACCCTACCTACCATACCTCTCCCACCATCACCCCACTGACCATTTTTCACCCTCCCACCTCCTTCCCTCCCTTACACATCCTCTTCCACTCACCTTTCCTCCCATCATTATCCCCACCCAACCTCCCACTATCACTCTACCTCCCATCCCTTCCCTCTCACCATCACCCCAATCTACCATCCTTCACCGGCCCTCTCCTCCCCTCCCATCATGAGGGACCACAGCCCACGCTTCCTAGCCCGGAGCTTATTGTATTTATTACACTTTCCCGGGTGATAATAAATGTTATAATGATTCCTCTTCATTACAGTCCCAGCTAATATTGCTGATGACTGGAAGACAAGATATGGCTGGGGGAGTTAAGAGGTGCGCCCACCTCTTGAGACACATCTGAGACTGCCGCCACACGCACCCGTTTATGGTCTCGATAATGCCTGCAAATGACGCCGCGGCCAGGAATCACAATATACAAATAATTTCGTATAATGACCTTTTATTACAGCCCTCACCTCTAAAAACAATTATACCCAGAGTTTATATAGTTGAGTAGGCAGTGGACGTTCCCATAATGCAACGCTCTGCCCCTTAAGACACCGTTCGAGGGAGTGGGGGAGGGCGGAGTCCCGTCCGAGGCAATCTGAACCTGGCCGCTAAAGATGGCGGGTCCGATAACTCATTTCTTCAATCAAAGTGGCTGTATTACTCCCGAGTTCTGTTTATTTTTCAAAGTGAGCTCACAGTCGGTGCTTAGAGAGGCGTCTCACCCGGCCTCACACTCCCCCACCCTCATGTAGGTACTTGTTATGCCTTAATTGTGTGCTAGAAACATCACTCTTATTTTTGCCCCCAAACTCTCACAAAATTTCTGTTTATATACCACTACATCGATCAACATTTAAATAAAGAATGGCTTAATTTGCATGGTGTGTCCTGTATTATAATTCAGCTATGTAATGTATGCAGTAATACTTTAAGTAGTAAGAAAATATAGTAAATCAAGTGCAGATGAGAGGCTATAATATAGATTTTTTTATAAGCATCCGCATATTTTTTCTTCAACAGTTTTACGTCAGCATACGTAATCCTTATTGGGTGGACTCTTTAGTTAAACAGGTCACATGTTTATAGCGCACAGAAGCTATCGCCTGCTTCCATGACCATGACCAATTGTTGAAAGCATTAATGAACGTCAGAGGGCGCGGCGACTGGGCTAAGCTGAGTTTAATTGTCCTGGAGCAACCCAAGTTCAGCGTGCGTCACTATCACAGGGTCTTGGCGCTTCTATACCAAGTGTTGACGCGGTGTTGACTTGTTATATAATTATACTGTAGATCTATATGATTTACTGTCAGCCCGAAACTTAGCTATAGGTCCTTAACAATAAATGAGAAACTCGTACTGTCAGCACTAACCTTTGTCACAGGACATTAACAGCCGTATAATGGTATGTTGTTGTAGCGTTAGTCTTTTGTCGGCAAGTTTATTACCATAGAGCCATAGTGACGATGAATGGTAAAGGGATAATGTGACTACTGTGTACCTATATATTCACAACTCTAATAAGTGGACTATAACCAAAAGTTTTACATTTCAGCTTCACTGTTTTATAGTGAAGTGACTGAAACCAACATAGCGAGAATTTTATAGTAGCCGGGTATAATACAGTAAACAAATATAAAGGTAATACTACAACTACTACTAATAATAATAACAACAATCATCATCAAACATATCCCCCGCCGGTGTCTGTCAGTCGGCCATTTTCTATCTGATCCCAAAGCCAAGTACTGAGTATTATTGTCTCATCATCGAAATTTATGTTCAGTTTGATGCCAAAATCTCCAGTGGTGTCCATATAGTGATTGTTTTGGAAAAATTGAGGACACACAGATGAACGGACAGACCAACGAACTATTGGACAGGTGCAAGGGGCGAGAAGACAGGTGTACGGACGGAGGGACGCACTGAACATGGATGGATGAATGGACGGACGGGAAGCAATCATACAGACCCCTTAAGGTGCGGTCACACCAAACGAGTCGAGTCCAGTCATTAGAGTCAATTGACTTGAGTCAAATTGAATCATTCCCGTCCACACAGAAAGAGACAAGTTTGTCAGTATCCTGCCAGATTTCAAGCGGTGTGGGCACATTATCTCTCGCGGAATTACATGTTCTGCTGTGGAATCGGTGACGTAGGAGGAACCGAATCTGAGTACATGAAGTCAACAACAAAAGGACAGATTTTGGTGCTTTTGGTCATTTGTTTTCGAACCTACTGAACCATCGAAAATTCTTGTTGCTGGAACCATTAATTACTCTGAACAGGGGATGGGGAAAGGAAGCTTCCTTTGAAAGGCTTCATGAATTTCAATCCTGATGTCCATTTTGTAAGCAGGCGCTTATTGCTTTATTATATGTAGTAAGCTCAATAAAAAAAAGTGGTCTGGATCAATTTCGTCGGAACTGCTCTTTTAACTTAACTTCTTCAGTTCATTCTGGAAACGCAAGTCTATTTCGTCTGTATTAAGATACTTTTGCGAGCTTTCTTTTTAGATGTTAGAGAGCAGGACGCTTTCGAATCACGTAGAGTCACGACTCGACTCGATTCGTTTGGTGTGACCGCACCCTTAGATTAGTCATATGTCGTTTTTTTTTTAGTTAGATACCACGTCTCAGCGTAACCAATCGCAGGTGTCGACCATCATTACAGATGTCAAGCATCATCACAGATGTCGGACATTACACGTGTCAGGCATCATCACAAGTGTTAGTTGATCCGGATCGTATATAGGTTGATGCGAGCCACCAGACAATTGTCAACTCAATCTAGTTATCAACAAGTGGCGAAATAATAACTTGAGAGGGCGGGTAATTGTAAGCCCAGGAGCAGTCTGTATCACCTGGTGAGGAGGGCCGTCAAGACCCCAGTCTCTCTTAGCACTTCCTCCAGGTCGCTCACTAACGCCGCTGCTGACAGCCTCAACCACTTAATATAAGCGTCATTCGTAATCGCTATCAGGAAAACACTAATTAATTGCGGTAAAATCGTCTTAAACAAAGGAACCCTCTATGCATAATTCATTAACGGGCAACCCCCTACTTTCCATACGGAGGACGGAGTGGAATATTCAATTTCTTTTAATTAAACTCTAGAGTTAGTTCTTTCCTCGCTAATCCCTGTTAATTTACGAGACGAGCACCTCGGGACCAGCTATTCTCAGGATCAGCGTCTCGCGGCAAGTTTTTCCTTAGGGAGACATTTTCGAATATTTTAATGTGACCGACATAAACTTGGACAAACAAAGTGAGGAAAAATGCGAAAAATCCGCCTTGAGTTTGGCGAGTGTGGCCGCCGGTTATCAGACTATCTCCTCGCCGATCACCACCCAAACCCTGGGACAAGTGACCGGCATTTGAGAGCGGGACGTCCCTACCGCTGCACACTGACTTCACACCTCATCAATCTGAACACCACAAACCCCTTGACCATCACTTTACCCTCTACTGTTAACCAAATCCGAAACTAGCGTCAACCGTACCAATACTAAGTGAAACTGATGTTACAGATAACGAGAAAATTAGTTGAACAAGAGGTTGGGTAGAGGGTATGGTGTGGGTATCGGAGGAGTGACTCCACCTGGCGAGAATAGCCCAAGCTCTGAAGGTGTCGCTAACCACACCTGCCATGTCTGACAGATCCAACACAACACTCTACTTGCACTTCTTCAGGTATTCGTGCAGTCACTCGGCGGGGTAATGCAACTGTGTGGGTAATCCGGCCAGTAATGGGTGTCGGTACGCTATGCTGTGTTATTAATGGTAATTAGGGTAACCCTCCCACTGAGGCACCGCCACCGAGGACGCATGCAGATGACCACCGTAGAGTTGTCCTTCGCCTACCTGCTTATTACACTGGCTTCACGACACGTAGGGTCCTGCTGTGACGGGGCCCCCTTGTACCTGCTGCGTCTGCTGGCACGGCATCTGCTGTTGGTTCGCCATTTGTGACGTCTGCTGGGGGACCTGTTGCCCGCCCTGCTGCGCGCTGGAATGAGAACAGAGCGTTATTGGTTGTCTTAGATGGGTTTGATGACTCATTATTTTTGACTCGCCCACATGACTCACAATGTGTTGATTATCTCTTACACCTTATGACTCACAATGTGTCGTCTATATGGTCTATCCACTGACTCCACCTCCTGACTCACCTTACACCTCATGACTCACAATGTGGTCCATCACCTGACTCAATATGTGTGGTCCACTACCTGACTACCTCCCAAGACTCATAATGTGTTCACTGTCTGGTCCACTATCAGCCTCTCTTCCCAAATTTATATCCACCCTCCACATGAGCTGTGTCCTTCACGACCTGACTCAATGCCATGACTCACACTTTAGATAAAAAGTGCGTCGTGGTCGGAAATTTTTTTCCGGTTTCATCGATGCATTACAAAAGGAATAGCACTGATGCCTTACATATCTAAGTCCTAAAGAAAATTGTACTATAGTTTGTTGAAAAAATTCCACGAAGAACTCTGGTATTTCAATTCGTTTAATATTAACAAAAGGCATGAACTAGCCTAAACCTAACCAATTTACCCAAGGATCGTTAGGGTAGGTTGGTTAGTTCTTGTCGTCTGAAAAATAACGGTTCACCTGACGCGTTCGTGGTACTGTTTCCATCCTACGTTTAACAAACCATATTCTCCCAGGAGCCAGAAGGGTGACCTGTTTGCTAAGAGATGATACATACAATTATGTTGTTTGGACAACTTACTTCTTATAGACGGGTGTGAAGGCTGTGTTGGGGAGCGACGTGGCTGTGTTGTTGTGGTTGGGCGCGTGAGAGCCGCCGCCCTGGTACCGCTGGTGGAGGGAGGTGTCCCCTACGGAGGCGCTTCCAACACCGGGGGCAGGCAAGGGCGCTGTAGAACCACGGGAGCAGGAGGACAGACCTACGCTCATACTGCCACCGACGTAGCTGCCGGAGCTCGAGCCTCCCAGGAAGGCCCCAGTGCCCAGCAGGCCTGCGCCTTGACCCTGCTGACCTTGTTGACCCTTTACGTTGGGCGGCGTCTGAGGCGGAGTGTCCGTGCCAACCCCGTCACTGTTGCAACATCACCACAAGTTAATGTTAAAGTCATCCTCAACTCAACATTCTTTGCTAAAAACAATTCTATACTACATTTGACAAAATGCCTATATATATATATATATATATATATATATATATATATATATATATATATATATATATATATATATATATATATATATATATATATATATATATATATATATATATATATATATATATATATATTATATATATATATATATATTGTATATATGTATATATATATATATTGTATATATGTATATATATGTATATATATATTTATATATATCTTGATAAAATCACGGGAAAATGGAAACAACGAATTACCTTAGCTTTCGTCTTTATTCAAGGTGCTCCGTTGTTCCATTTTCCCGTGTGATTTTATCAGATTTATCTTATCCACGTTTTCGTGTGGATTACATGATATATATATATATATATATATATATATATATATATATATATATATATATATATAATGTATGTTGTTTGAGCAGACGGTGCACCAACTGTATGATATACAGTACTTATTTTAAGCTAAAAAGAAAGTAAAATAATGTAGGTATAACCTAAAATTTACCACACAGTGACGAGGTGAAACTGGTTCCCGGTTCGGATTCAGTACTGTACACTGATAATATTAGCCTTTGGTACACAAGAGGCAGTGTGGCCGGCACTGCACTCAACCGCCTTCATTTCTCTAACCATAAAAAATTGGTACTCATTCACTGACAGGTGGACTGGGGGTACCATAGGCACGAGTAACTTAAGAGATGAGTCAGTACCGAAGGCGAGCGTCAAGAGGGGGCACACTGGTGAGGAGTCATACCTGTAGCCGGCCATGTACTGAGCTGGGTTGACCCCGGACATGAGATGTGTGAAGCGGGCGCTGTGTGGGTACTGCTGCTGGGTGGGTGGGATGGTGGGTGGCAGGGGGAAGGTTGTGCCGCCCGCCAGCCACCCGCTGCCCGGCGCGCCGCCCACACCACCAGTGGGCGGGGGAGTCTTACACGCTGCTGTGTCAGCCAGGGACCAGATTTTGGGCTTAGCAGACGGTAGTGACACAGCACAGTCACTCTGAGAGGGAGATGGCGGAGTTATGTACAAAACTTATTTTGTTTAAATGTGTTGTATATCACACATTTGTTTAATATATCATTGTCAGTAATAATAACAGTACAAGAATTTCTAACTGATGGATATATATATATATATATATATATATATATATATATATATATATATATATATATATATATATATATATATATATATATATATATATATATATATATATATATATATATATATATATATATGATGTGTTTGTGTGTAAATTTAAGTTTGTAATATAAGTTACTATATCAGCTGTTGGCATCTATAGTATATACTTGAACTCAATAACACTTTTGGAAATTTGATAATTTAAAGATGATTTAAACAAATAAGTTCATCACACGCAAGGGAATCCTTGTTTAATTTATCTATAATTAACGTCAACAAATATGCAAACTACGATACTAGCAACATACAACTAAAACAATAGAAAACTACAGTAGTTATAATACTTTATAATAACAACTAAATATGAACACAGCCACAGTCGAGGCACTATTGCTGTTTACGTCTAACTAGTATATACATGGAAGCTGTCTTAGAAAAATGTATATCCACTGTCTGGCAAATTTTATTAGATATCGTGTTTATATTAGAACAGCAACAATGTCCTCACTGGCTGATATAAGAGGTCTCTCACAAGTAAGGACAATGTTACTGTTTTAATACCGTCGCACAATCATTCACGCAACCTCCACGAAATTATGTAACTCAGTGTGTACAGTACAGTATGCATCTAGAGACACCTTGTACTGATGCAGCTCTAAGTTAACTCGCAAAAGAAATGTAAAGCAAAGTCGGAAAAGATACAAAGAACAGGGAACAAGAGAGGTAGCAGATAACAGAGCTATAGTTAACGCTATCAGCCAGTAGTAAGCAAAATACCGGGTTTATAAACAAGATCATCATAGCGGTGCATTTGCGATGTGGCGGCTGCGGTATCATATAAGTTATTGTAAAATTTGGCAAAACTAACTATTAAACCCGACGTTATTCTACCAAACCATAACTGACTCTACTAAATATTTGTCGAATATTTTTAGGTTTAGTTGGGTTGGGTTTGGGTGGTGTAAGTTGGTTGATTAGATTATGTTTAATTGGTGCGGTTCGATTTGGTTGGCTGGTTAGGATATAGGTTGTTTGGTTGGTTGAATTCAGTATTTTCATCTGTTTTTGAAAATCATACACAGCATCGTTTAAAACCCAAAACGAACCAACCAAACCTTACCTAACCAACATTGGGTTTGGTTAGGTTAGGTAGGTGAGTCAAGTTTAAGTTGGAATAGGTTAAATTTGGTTAGGTTAGGTCAGTCTAGGTTAGAATTATTTAGATTAAATTTAGTTTGGTTTGCTTAGGTTAGGGTTAGTTGGGTTAAGTTTAGTTTGGTTAGTTAAGGTTAGGTTTAGTTGGGTTAAGTTTACTTTGGTTAGGTTTAGTTGGGTTAAGTTTGGTTAGGTTAGGTTGGGGATCTTAAGAATAACTCAAATTCACCTGTGCTCGAGGAACAACAGTGAGTAGAGAAATAAAGTGAAGTCTGGGGTTTTGTTTCTGTCAATTAGTTACAAGAAATACTTAAAAATAATCGACTTTTGGTAATTAGAAGCAAGTTCGATTTTATTTAGGTTTTGTTAACTTTGGTAATAATAATAATAATAATAATAATAATAATAATAGGAATAATAATCTAGGCATAACTAAGTGTGAAATTATTGCCGTTGTTGTATGTGAAGTATAATCGACTATAAAGTTATCGAATGAAAATTTAACTGAAATTGTTCAGGTTAAGATGTATAGAGAATTATTAGTTATGGAATAATCGACGATGATAATGTCAAGCCAATAATAATAATTACCTTTGAAATTATCTGTATAAAATATTTATAGAAGAAAATTTAATTGACATTTTTTAGGATATTATTGATATTAAAACACTAAATGGAGACGAAAAGCCATTGTATAGAAGAAAACAATTAATTTATAAAGGTTAAGATAGAAAGACGACATAAAGTACAAGTTTTTAAATTTAATTAATTTGAACAGAACACCAAAAACATGCTAGATGGGATGTTATATCTAAAGCAGAACATTTAACTTAAGTTATTTAGGAAAAGTATGCACAGAAAAGCATTTTAACTTATTTAGGTAAAAAAAAAAGACAAAATATAGAGATACAGACCAACTATAACATGCAGAGGTAAAACACTTAAAGAATATGAAGTTGTTGAAGGTAATACCCACCATAAGGCTCACCTTCTCTCCCTTAGGGACAGTGAAGGGATTGGTGGAGTGGAGAGTAGGTGTGGGGGAGATGGTGGGGTGGAGGGCAGGCGCCGGGGAGATGGCCGCCGTCACCGCCTTGCTGTTGGCCACCACTCCTCCCTCACACGACTTGAGCTCCGTCTGACCCTCGCTGTCCTCCACCTTGGTCTCCGTCACTGTTGGAGATAAAGATGGAGATTGACTCGTGTGAAAGGGGCATTTTTTTTGCGTAATGTTTTTTTTTATGTTTGTTGGTTCTTCCTCTTTGTTCAGTCTTCATCACTTTTGGAGGATAGTGAGCGTGAACAATATTAACAGGAAATGGACAATGTTAACTGAAGAAGTAACTAAAGATATTTTTCATTGTTGACGGTGATGGGCATGACCGCTTTGTGTTTCGGTATTAATATATACTTTGGGAAATGAGTCAAGTAGTTAACGTGGGAACAGTGATACAAAATAATGAGGTGTAGTATAACCCGGCGAACGTTTACTGTTGTTATACAGTACTTTGAACAAAAATATCCGGTAGTGAAACTTTTATAATAATCTAAATGAATTGATAACAAATTATATACTTTAACTTTTATGGCCCATATTAATCTGAAAAAATTGGGCGTATGAACTTTTTTAATCTAAATTAATAAAAACACGTGTGTATACAGTATATATATATATATATATATATATATATATATATATATATATATATATATATATATATATATATATATATATATATATATATATATATATATATATATATATATATATATATATTACCACTGGGTTCAAAGTCAGTTGTGACGTTCACTGAGATAACTGTTGGGTTCAAACAGTCATCTGTGACGTTCACTGAGATAACTGTTGGGTTCAAACAGTCATCTGTGACGTTCACCGAGATAACTGCTGGGTTCAATCAGTCAACCGCTCCCTGTACTGTGTCCATCACCGCAGTAATACCAAAGAAGGCGGCCGCATAATGTACATATTCTTCTTGATTGCAATCAGGGTACAAAGCGGTTCCTTGTGTGAGTGTGTGTGTTGTAATATCATGCATTTTAAATTGTTTTAATAGTACCTCTACCTATAGTGTATACACGTTAGTATTAAGAGAAACCTTTCTTATAGAGACATGATGTGTGTTTTTGTGTGTAGTGTGCATGTGCGTATGATATATAATACTGTTGTATTGTATGTCAGCGTTTATTAATGTTACTGTTGTTGTTGTTGGAGGTTTGTGGGGCCACAGGGTGAGGCTCCAGCAGTTACATGTTTGATGAAGTAACTGGTGAGGAGACGAGCGAGGCCACAGGAACCACCACCCGCAGGGTCTTGACAGCACGTGCTGTTGCTGACCATCATGTTTAATTTTATTCCTTGTTATTATTGAATGTGTGTCTGAGAGAAGGAACTGATGAAATGTGTAGTTTACAGTTTCTTAATGAGTAGCCTCCCACGCCTGCAGAGTGACTGTCACCGGGACACTATTGCACAGTGCAGTATATTGCACGTGTTGCAGAGGAAGATCTGTATACTGCGTCGTGTGTGCTAAAACTGATGCACACAGTTTTGTCAACCCTTGAAATATCCAACCATGTGTCACACAGACAAACTGTAGCGAAAACCTACACGACACGCGAAGGAGCCCTCCCCATAAGTCTTCAGTAGTAACAAGCGTGACACATCACTTCAACACAAGTTTGAGAGACAAAAAAAAAATAGTGTGTGAGAGTAAGTGTCTGGTGTGAGGGGAGGCGGCGTGGCCAGGCGAGGAGGGTAACACAAGCCCCGGGGTAAGGCAGTCAAAACACGGCTCATTCCTCGCTCGTTGACGGACGAACCTAATCTGTCCTCCCCCAGTGGTCGTCGACGCCACCCCGCCGCCACACTTTACCACACACGCTTGTTGACACTAGTCCCGCGTCTACCAGAGTATCTGCCGTCTCCTGGACCCTCACTGGTGCTGCCTAGTGCACACTGTACTTCTTCATCCTCTTACCTTATACCAGACACTTTACCTCGTCAGTATTTATACCCAAAACATGTATTTTTCCCTTTGTCATTATTATTACCAACAGTAACCATGTATTTATCATGTACCTCTATGTTAACGTCTTGTTATGTACTCGTATTCTTACTCAAACATGTATTTAAGCATCGGTCATATTTTGACCATACACTGATGTGTCTGATTATATATATATATATATATATATATATATATATATATATATATATATATATATATATATATATATATATATATATATATATATATATATATATATATATATATATATATATATATATATATATATATATATATATATATATATATATATATAACCAATTAAGTTGAATTATACAACTGATAGAAGACTTCTGCGACTAGCTTTGTTTTCTTGTGAGAATGTTTCAACTTGGTTGAGTCTTAATTGCATATCATGTGACTCCTTAAAACCCAGTGTCTTCACAAAACATTATGTTGTTGTTGTTGTTGTCTTCACGAAGCGCCGCAGGGTGTAGAAAAATTGGTGTAACAAATGAATTATCTCCTTGATGGATTTTGTTTAGATATTTAACTTTTTACTTGATAGTGGCGTTTTCTCCTAGATATATTGTATTACCGAAAGATACGGTTCTCACACCACTCTCTTGGTTAATGCTTTTAGTGTCAACTAATTTTTATTGAGGTGGGTAAATAAATATTGCTCGTGTTCAGATAATGAACACAGTTTCCCGTCTGAAGTCTGGCTTGTCTTCCCAATGGACGTCTTCACCTGTCTCGTGTACTGTACTAATTGATATGATGATCCATAATATAGAAAGTTATATCATAATTTTTAATTTTTGTTCGACTATTGTAATTATTAACCTTTGTTACGCGCTTAAAGACCTTTCTTTTGTAATTTATTTAATTTGAAGAACTACATGTAAGTGACTTGTCATTAGTATACCCTTATCTGGAGAAATGTCAGTAGTACCCACCTGTTCCATGAGCGGGCGTGGAGAAAGGCGAGTTATTTTCCCCGTATAGTAAGACCCTAGACACAACTAACAACATAAATAATCCTGGTGACTCCATCTTGAGAAACATAAGTGGCCCCGTGGACGGAAACCCAACCAGCTTTTATCATTATAATTATCACGGAATAATCTGTGTCGACATATCACACTTCCTCGTAACCCATTCGCCTGATGCAGTGTTTATTCTGTGTAAATCCGCGGGTGAAACTGGTGTGAGCCCAGCAGAATATTACACTAGATCTGTGAGGACCGCACACTTGTCAGGCGAGCCTTTAATCCCCCCTTGTTTACCTAGCTATGACACGGGATGGCTCTAGCCACCCCGGCGGGGGATGCCTCCACTCAGCTGCTGGTGATGGGGAGGGGTGTGGAGGTCCTCATGTTGTTGTTGTTGTTGCCTCCACTCAGCTGCTGGTACTGGGGAGGGGTGTGGAGGTCCTCATGTTGTTGTTGTTGCCTTCACTCAGCTGCTGGTACTGGGGAGGGGTGTGGAGGTCCTCATGTTGTTGTTGTTGCCTTCACTCAGCTGCTGGTGATGGGGAGAGGTGTGGAGGTCCTCATGTTGTTGTTGTTGTTGCCTCCACTCAGCTGCTGGTGATGGGGAGAGGTGTGGAGGTCCTCATGTTGCTTTTCTTGTTCCCATTCCCACCATCATTAAGCTGGCAGAGGTAACTAGCGAAACCGAGGCTTTCGTAGTTGATAAACAATGTACAGTTTTCAATACTAAGTTTTGTGTCTCATATAACTTATACATGGGAGCGTCTTGGTCTTCTGTCACCATGTATTAGTGTTACGACAGGGATGATGACGATGGCAGCTGTTAGTGTCTACATTGTTTTTGCTGACCTTCTTTTAGCTAAATTATTTTTATCTGTCCCGTAAAATTATTCATTAAGTCGTTTATATTGTGACGAAGCGTAGATATTTTGCCTTTGTCATGTCTCACACATAAGTACCGAGTAAGGCCAGATAAGTTGGTAACAAACAGTGATGTGTACAATGCTGTAAAATTCATTATAAACCTCTTGTTGCCACTAAGTCTTTATTAAACACTTGTGTACCAGTATGAAGGTAATGGCACTGGGCAGCATGGAGTAACAAACAAGACAAGTTTGCTTACATTCTGGGTAATTTATTTTGTTTCGAGACCACAAGTGGAACCTCATTCCTCCTCAGAATAGCACAAATAAAACAAAACTTTTCTATAATCAGATGGGTGTTTAGATGTTAAGTAAGCCGCGGTGTATACGACAATTTCTCATGGACCAAATAAGCTTGTGTATCGTGCCCCGGCCCGCCGCGCCAAGCCAAACAGGGAAGCCTGAAACATGGCGAGCATAATCAAAACTGCTTCACCGAGGCTCCTCCACTGTCGGCAATGGATGGGTCTCTTAGATTCAGGAAATCCTGGCAACTTGCTGGGAGTGGGGAACAAGTGTCGAGCATACTTCACCGTCGGCTGCCTCGCCAATGCACGCTAAACTACCGCTCTCAGATGTGTCATTTGGCGCGCTTTACCCCTGTACTGCTGTCTCCTCTATTTTTTTCTTGTTTTTTCGCGCACAGATTCAGAGCAAGTAAACTGATAGAGAAAACCTTTCAGGAAATAACTCATTGTCGCTTCTGTTTAACCCTCACTCGATCTAAGGCGGCCTGGCATACCGTCACATTAACGACCGGCTATAAATGCATCACTAACAAGTTGCTAACTAGCTCAATAAAACATATATAAAACTGTTTTTAATGGATGATCTGTGAGAGCTAGTCGCCGGATCCCAAAATTCTCATTATTTGCTCACGCCTCCGCCCAGCTGGTCGTCCATCTCCCTCACAAGACTTAAAACGTGTTTACTGCAACAAACATGGACGAGTGTTGTCTGGGTATGTGAGCGACGCCACCTTTTTACCCACTCACACATAAGCACCTTGTTGAAAAATTGGGAGCCCGGGTCATGATACGAGTACCCTGCGACGAGGCTTTTATTGAAGGGGGAGAGTGAGAGGCCAACAAAACCTGGGTATATGTTTCCACTCTCCGTTGGTGTATTTATGTTACTCTTACAGTGTCTTGTGATGAAGTCTTGAGGCACATGCATGTGACGAGGAAGTCTTATGCTAATTACCATACTTGAGGTGAGGGTGTCTG